ACACAGAACGCATCCATAAAACGCAGACAGACAAGTGACCACTTAGACAGATTGACTGAAACTATTTATCGAGGTTTCAACAACAACCACGCGACAGTTGCCACTTTCTTGGACGTCAAGAAAGCGTTTGACAGCATGTGGCACAACGGACTCCGCTACAATCTCACCCAGTACAACATACCAACAACCATCATTCGCTGGATATCCAGCTTCCTAACTTATAGAACAGCCCGGATCCGAATAACAATAAACTATCAACGCCCTTTACACGCAATGCAGGGGTCCCCCAAGGATCTGTCCTAAGCCCACTCCTGTATATTTTATTCCTACAGGACATTAATTTCGCTTCACTCACAAACACATACACTTCCCAATATGCTGACCACGTCGCCATGTGGAGCTCGTCACGTGACCCGCGTCTAGCCGCACGCAGAACACAATCACTCTTAAATCACCTAACCACATGGTGTAACACCTGGCGTGTCCTACTCAACCCACTAAAGACACAAGCAATCATCTTCAGAATAACCCTCAAAAGAAAGAAATATAAAATACCAAACTTAACCTCTGCAACACACAAATCAAGTTCACGAACCATGTTAAATTGCTCGGAGTAACCTTCAATTACAAACTAAAATGGAACACTCACCTAAACAAACCACTCAAAGCAACCACATAACAGATTAACTATCTCAAGAAAATAGGGGGATTTGCAAAAGATTGCGACCCCCATTCTCCCACCTTCATCTACAAAATGTACATTAGACCACTACTAGAATACGCGAACCCAATCACCTTCAACATGCTACAACATTTACACACCAAACTAGAAACAACACAATCCCAAGCAATTCAAATTGCCCATCATCTTCGTAACTATACCCCAGCATCTTACTCTAACAAGATCAGCAATTTAAAAACAATTGAACAGAGACTCACCGACCAAGCCTGTACACACTACATCAAAACAATCTCGCAGCACAATTTCATAAACTTTCTAATACCCCCCCCCCCCCGGTGCAAATACACCTCACCATACCAACACTCGCAAGAACAAGTCACCGAGCATACCTGGTTCTGACCCGGCTCGTCTAATGGATCCATCTGACCAATGGCTCATCAAGATTATGTTTTCTTCTCCAACTCCAGACCACTCCCAGCATCTCCCGACAGCCTCCTCTCCATTCATCACCACCGATCAACTGATATGTATATGTTTTACTGCCTATCATGTTTTGTTGTAATTTTCTGTCTTTGATTCTTCCTTTACTTTACTTCACCTCATTCATGTTAATTCTCAAGTATTGTTAAACCTTAACTTGCTATTCTGTGTATGCTATGTCAACAATTATGTATTATACCACATCCCATGGCAAATAAAGAAAGGGACATATCGTCCTCTTACGAAACGGCGCTGCCAGCAAGCCGGGGGGAAGTGCGCTTGCTGTGTCTGTGTTCTCCCTGCTCTGTCATCGCTTCATCGGGCCAGCTGAGAATCTCTAACACAACTCCCTATCTCTTACAAACTCTGTTAAAACATACCACGAAAGCAACAAAAACTCGTTCACCAGGACAAGGTAAAAGTCTTCTCCTCACAGCTCTCCCTACCGCTTGTGGTGCCAACGTCAGAAAACATTTTTAAATATTTCATTTATACACCCAATACCAAACGTTACAAAATTTAATTTCAGGAAGCGGGGTGAAGAGAAACAAAAGTTTCTGACCGCCCCAGGTTATATTATGTTCCTCAGAGGGGAACGAAATGTACTTTTAACCTAAATTCCTATCATGCTATATTGGATTGGAAACGCCCTTCACTTGTCAATCGGAAACATGTTCTTCTCCACGACAATGCTCGTCCACATGTGGAACGTTTGACGCAACACAAGATGATGGAGTTGGGAAGTTCTCCCCCACCCACCGTATTCTCCAGATATGACACCATCAGATTACCATCTTAATGGGAAAACGTATGCAAATGTGGAAGGTGTTGCAAAAATATGCCGATGTCCTCTTTTTAAAGCAAAGTGATTTCTTTAATCAGGGCATTAACAACCTGATTGTAAGATCGAAAAGAATGGAGGCTATTTCATTTAATAAATGTTTTGTTTTGATATACAAGTTGTTCGAGGTTTTCATCTAAAAAAAAAGCGACATTAATTTCTTGACGACTTAATATATATTGTTAGGAGATTGAATTATTTTGTCAGAGTATATGTTTCACGGAGACAAATACGAGATGTTGTCTCAAGGTATTATTTCACCACAAGAAACTAGTTTGATTATTTCTGATGTCATTAGACCAAGCTTAGATGTCTAACGTTACAACTCTCTTCCAAACAAATTGGTTTCAAAATGTGAGACTGATTTGTTTCTTTGTACATAAATGCTTCTGGTATGTGCAATCCGTTCTTCTTCACGGCTTCAGTGGTGAAACCAGACTACATTTCTTAAGCTCAGTGGTTCTCAAACCTTTCAGGAACGCATATAACTTTTTGTTTTTAAGTACAAACCTAGGCCTAATTAAAAAACACGAAAAACTAGTAGCCAAAAATAATATTTTTAACACTTACCCAATAACTTTAAGGATACGATTTTTTTCCTGGTACAATTGAAGAATATTTGGTGCGATTTCTATCAATTTAATATGAAAACACTTGTTAGGCTATGCGGGTTGAAAACGAGTCTAGGAGTGAAGATAGTAGTGTGTACGTAAAAGCGAGAAGCTTAAACTGGGCTTATTACAAGTTTTATAATTTTCCGTGTACCACCGGCTTTAACTCTACGTACCACTAATGGTACGTATACCACAGTTTATGAATGCCTAACTTAGATAATTAATTAGCTTTGAAAGTCTGTATCGCCGTATTTCTATTTTGAAGATGTCGTCCACATACCTAATAATCCACAAGGTAGAGTGATGTAATCTTTTCGCAAATTTTCAAGATGTGGTCATATGACACATTACCATTAAGCTGAAAATGTTACCATACTCGAAGATTTTCATTACAATCTTCTACCCACCCCAGAGATAAAATGTTTTGTATTGGAGAAATGTAACTTTGACTGTACAAATAAGATTGCATGAGCCTTACTCATTCAAAATCATTTGTGATTAGCAATACCATGAGAATGTTTATCATAATTGATCTTTTCTTTATATATTTAAGGTTACTTAGTTAAGTAAACATTTCTTATGTAACTCTAAGAAAAGATGTGAAGAATGTATTACATACGTGCGACTGTTGTGCATTTTGGACGGTGCAAGTTAAATCGTGCAAAAATTGGAAAATAAACCGCCATTATAGGAAGAACAGCATTTTATTGATACAAGAGGGTTGAAATCTCTTGTATTAAACTTCCAGGGAGGAGTCGTGAGCTTCAAGCATGGTAGTTTTATGTCCTATAGCGGCTTTTGAGGGAGAAGTCGTGGACTTTAAACATAGAGAACTGTACAGTAAGACAGGTACTTACGTTTCGATTTGTTTATTGTGAATTTGGGCCGTTGGTCTTTCGTAGCTGCAAGCACGTTGGTAACGCCGTTGTACTATACAAGGCTTAACTATTGTTTGATCTGTAAAACTTCGAAACTGTCTCCAAAATGAAGATTAATCGTCACACTTTTTAAACAAGGTCGCTATTTGATAAAAATCCCTTTGAATTGTTTATATAATTAAAAACACTTAATAAATACAGAATTTTACTTTAAAAGATGATTGCCACTCACTTTCATTTGTTTCTCTACCCAACAAACCCCAAAACAAGGCAAGAAACCATCGCTAAGATACCAAACCAGAAAGTGACCAACCCACTAAATTGTTCATCTTTCTTCTTGATTTGGTTGAGATAACTCTACAATTACTTTAGCACTAACGTCAGTTTAAGCCTAAATTCACTGTGTGTGTAACTGGGCATTGCACGATGTCATCATTTAGTCATAATAACTAGTAGAAATTAAACAAAAACCTCAATTCTAGTATTGTTTGTTTGTAGTTAAGTACAAAGCTAAACAATTGGCTATTTGTGCTCTGCCCACCACCGGTATCAAAAGTTAATATAGGTATTAATATAAAAAAGAAAAGAAATATTTTCTCTTTTCAAAAATTTTCAGGGAGCCTGGCCTCCCTTTCCTCTTCTGTTTACGACGGTGCCTTCTGCAATGGAAACTACGCTGCAGGGCTATTATCAAGATGCACGGATGTTAGAACATGAAAGGACTGTAACAAAGTGATGAGGCTCCAAAATCGTTTTAATATAAAGTACTGAACCCTCTGTAATTGAGAACTGCAAATTCTGTAGCGAATTTATGTAACCCTTGTTGAAGTGGTATATGTAAATATGACACAGGGAAAAGGAAGTCATGAGCTTGGCCATGACAGCTTGCAATGGAGCATTTTGCAACTGAAACTATAATGCAGGGTTATTGTTATGATACACGGTCTTCAGACAGTGCATGACCAGACTGTAATGACAGGGTGAGGCTCCAAAATCATTTTAGTTGTAATATAACGTACTGAACCCTTTGTAGTTGAGACCTGCTAACTCCCAAGCAAATTTACAGAGCCTTTACTAAAGAAATATATTTAAAATGATACATTGAAAACAAAATTATAATGTTTAATCTGCCCAAATGCTTCCTTTTTTTTTCTCACTTTTCCTCACAGTATTTCCTTTTATTTTTAATTACATAAGTATAAATAAGGATACTTTAAGTAGTATCAGTAACAACAAACATTTGGCATAAAATGATGAAAAAATGAAGTGTCTTAAATACGTTCAAAAATTATATCAAATTGTTTACTCAAACTTTTTCTTATATCCATGCCAAACCACACCCCATCACCTATCTTAGTCTCCTAAGTCTAATTATTAGAAGAGCCATTCTATCAGATTTCAATGCCACCATGAATGAACAGGATCACATTGAATGATAACCTTCATATTTAAAATTATATGCTAGAGTCATACATTTCCACAGATTTACTGAATGTATCGTAAAAGAGATTTTGAAAAATTTATTGTTCAGATTCTACAACAAATTTATAGTTGTTTAAATCTCCCTGGCAATGTACAGTGCATTCTGAGGAAGACGAAGAAAAAAAAAATCAATCAAATGTGTATAAAATTTGATAAAACCTTTATAGTTTGAAAAAAAGAAATACCTATGGTTTATTACTGAAACAATTTGTATCTTTATGTGTGTTTGATACTGTATTATATTCAATCCCATGTAATGGTGATATTCTTAAAATACCCTTCAGAACTTACTAAGTTCTTCAAACAACTTTATAACATCAGTTTGGGAAAAAAAAACATGAGATCTATTGTTTGCCAATAATTTTATATAACTTACCACAAAAACATTTGTTTTCTCTGATATCTGGTTGAGACAAACTTTTAAAAAACACCATTTGAACAGGTTTGTTTCTACACAAACAACTAATTCAAATATATCATGCACTGGATGACAAAGATATTCTCAAATAAACAGCAATCTGGTGATGTTTGAATAAACTTCCTTTAAGCACTACAAAAGAAATACAGGGCTTATCTAAACAAATGGAAACAATTTAATGAACACACTTTTTATCATCTTCTGTGAAATTTGAAGAACCTCAAGGTCTGTACTTAAACAAGAACATGCCATATTTACATACAATATACAAGTGAAACAATTAAACTGAAAAAAATCTTTGGCCATAATCATGAATGCATGTTTTTGTTGGTTTATTGTAAAGCACAAAGCTACACAAAAAGCCATCTGTGCTCTGTCCATCTCGCGCATTAAAACCCAATTTTTAGGGTTATAAGCCCACTGACTTACTGCCGAGTCCATACAAAAACTGCTATAAACACAATTTTAAGCAAAATCTATGAGAACTTTATTATTTTGTATTTGGAAAATAGACACACAGATTCAACACTTTTTCTGAACCAGAAAGATTCAAAATAAATTATAGTAAGATTCTGAATTTTGTGATATGCAGTATAACATGAAACATTAAACAGAATTTCAATATTAATAAATACAAGATGTGGCTTAGTGATGACTTTCTTGCATTTTTTCCCTAAATGTTTAACCTCAGTATAGCTCAGATGCATCTCATAAACAATGGTTCATTTATGACACAATAACATGAAACATAGAAACTATCAACATCCATAACAAATTTCAGCTTCTCTGTTAAATTCCTGGTAATTTTATTGTTTCCATGAACAACATTCTTTAGTTTAAAGTCCCAAAAATTACATTACTGTCTCATTCACACAGTTTGCAATCCTCAAACACATCATTTTATTTCTAACACTTAGCAGTAAACAACACGACTTCGTGGTCGCAAACGTCTATCAGTTTGTTTAATTGTCTGCTGTAATGAAGTCTGATTACAGACCAGATCTTCTCTAAAATGTTGCAAGTTCCATTTCAATTTTAACACATGGTTTCGGAGTTCTTTTGTTTTAAAAGCTAAGAGATTTTTTTGATGCGGATGCATGTGAAAACTTTTATACTGAATGCTTTCCTCAATGAGTTTTTCCATGTTTTTCTGCACAGTTATTCTTTGAGACCTGTATTTTTCCTGGAAACGAATGTTTTTACATTTATTCTTTCCAAGACTGCTACTTTCGTGTGTAATATTCATTACAACTGGACGCTTATTAAATGCAACACTATCATCAAACACTATTGCAGCACGATTTCCTACACAGCTGGGAGTTCCTAAGAAAAATATTTTCCGATCTTTTAGCAAAACAGTATGTAACACTTTATTTTCAATATCCATATAAGCATTGTTTTCTACCTTACTGTTTTCAGTTTCATTGTTTTCAGCATCAGGTTCTACCTCAAAAATACTGACAATTTCATCATCCTCATCCTCTTGTGGCCTGATAAGGTCACATTCAGAGTTTGTATGTATGACCTCCCCAAGGTGATCATTCATTTTTGGCATTTCCATTTCAGTGCTTTTATGGTCAACATGGTGCTCTCCATTTTGTACCAGAAGCTACAGAAACACACACAGTGTAAAAACATTTTGTAAAAGAAAAAAAAAAAATGAATAACACTCTTACTGAAAATACTTTAATTACTGAAAATGTTCATTTACTTGTTCTGCAGTTTAAATAAAGCTTAAATAAAACCCCACTTAACTCATAACCATTTTGTGCTTGTTATAGTTTTCATGCTATAAGTTTTAAATTAGTAAGCAAATGTTAACAAAATTTGGTATATTATCAGTAAACATTACAATGCTTTAATATGCAAAATATCAAATGTTTTTATTAAGTCTTAAGGTTTGTAAAGCAATGTTTTTCTCATGCCCTTTTTTTTTCTTTTAGCATGGTGCCTATCTAACATGCGAAGTAATTTTCATTTTAAGATTAAAAATACTTTTATTTATCAGAAAAGTTTCAAATTTCACATGCAAAATCTCTATAATGTCCAGATAGTTATCAAACATTTCTTAAAAAAAACTTTATATTGTATTTATTATTATCAGTAACGAATCTCAGTACTGGATGGGTAGATTTGACCTGAACTCTTAACCACCATAAAAAATT